AGTGATCTGAGTTAGTTACATTTACCACGCGTAATTTGTCCTAATTTCGACAAAATTCAGGGCCGAATTCCATATTTTTAACTCGAACAAAAAATCATATCATTTGTACATAATAAAACATATTTTCCGACAATGGGATTCACCCTATACATATTATAGAGTAGTAAAAAGTGAAAATTAGTGCTCACACGCTAACGGCCTTTGGGCAAGTGTGTATAAAACTCACTAAAACATTTTATAGGATAATAAAAAACATAAATATTACAGAAAATGCTCAAATTTATATTGCCGAAGCGGTGATACATTATTTTCTGAGGCTCTACATTCCAAATGATAGCTGGAAAACATCATGCACATTGCTGATTATCAGTCAAAGCAAAAGAAATAAGAATAAATCATCAGTCTAACAATTACCTTCAAAGTCTTTACAGAAATACATATTTCAGAATATGAAACATGATCTGTTGAGATTTTTCAATTGATTAATTTTTGAGTCAACTTACAGAAAAATCATCTAGAATAAAAATTCTGAGAAAAAAAAGATTGTATTTATTTTCAGCATTTTATGGTAGGGCATGCCGATTTAGTTACTATACTCGCTAAACTCGTTAAATGACACTCGACAATTATTTGCATAAAACCACTTCAATTTATTTTGAAAATTATCCGATGAGTAACGAGCATTTAGAACATGTTTTAAAAGTTTTGAGAGTCTTGTATGTCGATTAAAACTGTATATCCGCAATTTATTGCGAACTCTCAAAGTCGTTTCGTTTGCGCTTTTCAGTGCGTATACTTTTTGGGCATTTACGACATCAAAAGGCTTTGGTGCTCTATACTGTTTGCACAAACTTTTAGAAATATTATAAAGGTTTCTTGAATTTATTCCTTTTCTGAAATATTTAGATTGGTCTGAAGTTGCACAATTTTCGCACCAGCCTAGTTCGATCCTGTTCAGAGCCTGTAAATCCAGAAATCTTAATTATCAGCCGGTTCTCCGGTTAACAAGAAGAGATGGAACTTTCGATGAGTTTGCCGAAGTGTATGGGGACTGTTTGAAGGAAGTTCATCAGTCTTTATTAAGCGGTGATTAAAAAACGAATGAAAATCTCTTGGCCTCTTAATTGCGACTTAAAAATTATTTTATTAAACTTCCGCTGCTCCTGAATACGGGATAATAAGTTGAAACGATAATTTCTGTTTAATTATCGAACTTTGCTAATTGATTAATTGCTAAAATAAATTATTGTTCTTGATTACGCGGATGAAAAGGGAGCTTCCAATTTACTTAAAAATGTTAAGCAAGGGTTTTGTATTGTATTGGGTCGTTCGGAAAGTTATGTTGTATTTTTTATCTTGAAAATAAAACGCAATTTTACTGTAGAAAAGCAAAAATGTATATATAGTTTTGTAATATTCTTTCTCGTTCTATGTCAGGCATTCGAAGCTCTATGGATAGCAGTTTGTGCGCTCTTTCTAATAGTATGATTTCACGCCCATAAAATTTGTAGGGTTTTTGCAGGCAAAAACTTATTTAGGTGATTTTTAACATCTCATTTCAAGTAAGCGTTTTGCCGCCTAAGAAATTTTGTAATGTCATAAGCGAATACAAGCCAGAAGGCGCCAGATCCGGAAATTATGCAGGGTATAGCAGTACATATGCCACATCCAAACTGTAGAAGCGTTTGAAGAGTGAAGATTCCTCTATATTTCTAAATCTTGTTATTCTGAGAACGATTTAAATTACTTTTATTAACACTATTTTTTTAATATCAATTGACACTGTTTGAGAATTTTTTGAATTTCAGACCTTTTAGGTACATATTTTTGCTAATATTTACATCTCGATATGTAAAACATCACAGTCAACTAAAAGACGAATAATTATGCCAGTAGGTTAGGTTTCAAAGCGACTTTCTGAGACATCTAAATAACATTTTCCTTGATAAATAAATTTTTCTTTTAATATGGACACTAATCAATTACTGAATGAAAATACCGGATTCGGTTTATTTAATTTTCACATTGAAAACCAAAGGCTCTAAAGGAAAATCTTGAAGTTAATCCTAGTTTTCTTGGCTACGTCGTGGATACATGCTTAGCTCTAGGTCTATTTCATAATGGAAACCGTTTATTCGATAAAGCAATAACTCGAATAAAGTTGCGATTTTTGTGTTTTGGTTAATGCATTATTCATCAAAAAATACATCAGAAAAACAAAGTAGAAAAAGTATTTATGTGAGAAAAGTTTCAAATTTTAAAGGTTGGACATTGAAAATTGAATACACTTCACAGATGGAACTTTTGGCTCAGAAATATAAGTAGGATCGTCATTAGCTTGAAATGCTTATGTTATAACTTATTGAAACGTTTTTTAAGAGTTTAAATTTTTTACATTTGTTTTTGCTCTATAATTCCATACAAAAAATTTGTTAATTTACTTTAATAGTTTATATCTTTTGATATCAAATGAAAAGTTTTATATACAAAGTACTCCTTTTTACTATCGTGAAATTTATCGATATCTCTCGATTTTCGATGAAACTCAAATTCCTACAATTTACTTTCAACGATTTAAAGTTTTATTGTGCTTTTTATTTTCTTTTATTATTATTAGCATTAATCGAATACCTTCGAAAACTATCAACGGACAGAACTTTTAAATCAAAGACAAAAAGTCGATAACAAATAATTCGCATGGAGACTCACAATAAAAGATTAATTTTTGCACAGTTCTGGTGTGTTCTGTTTGAGTAAATCCGTCAATTTGTCCACCTGGTGATAGTAGACTTCAAAATTATTTGTTGTATTGTTCGCTAGAATATCCAAGGAACTGTTGCTTTGAAATCCTACCAATCACACAACATCATCCTATTTCCTATCGTTTTTTGTTGTTGCACAGTTGCAGTTCAAAATCAAAAATCTTCTAAACGTTAATCCGGAATGATGCGAAGTTCTTGTTCTAAGAACATTGAGTACTTTAATGTAGAGCTTTGAGATTAAGCCCAGGCGTTTTAAAAGATCATGAACTGTGGCATTGGATAAATCGATTTTACGGGTTGTAGTTCGGCGGTTTGTATCAATTAATGTCTTTATTGTGTTTTAACAGCTTTAACTGGACTTCAAGAACGTGGTTTATTTTCAACACAAAAATTCCTGGATTGAGATATTTATTTACAACCTTATATAGTGAAAAACTACGTCAAAAGTGTCGCATATCACTTTTCATCTTTGACTCAACACACTGAGGCGATAAATTAATCAACTTTTGCCTGAGCAAGTCTTGGTTGATGCACTTCGAAAATATAGATATAACGATAATGCGAATTAAATGTAAAATTGTGTTTAATAAGTGGAATCGATTCCGCTGTTGGAAAACAACGAAATTACAGTCCGGACAATTCAATAATAAGCTTTTATTCCATATATTTCATATTAATTATACATGCGCAAATCATTGTTATATATATTGACAAATAAACGTTTCCAAATATATTCATAGTCAATATCTAAACTGACCTTTTGATTAAATTACCAAATATTGGATTATTTAAATTTCATTAAGATAATTTAAGTCAAAATCCGCACGTAGTTAATAGTTATAAACTGCAGCATCCTGTATATTTCATATATAAATGGAGAAAATGAGTGTGTTCTGTTCGTGCCCAACTTGTGGAAAAACTCTGGAGGAGTCCATTTAACAACATTAGACTGAAGAGATTTAATCCTATAAACCTAACTACTAGATTTAAGTAAAACGCTTTGAAAACCCAGTAGTCAAAAACAATTAATTAATTAATTGATTTAAAATAGGGGATTTGGATGGCCAATACCCTACATGTTGAATTGTATGTCAGTTTCTTAAAATTGTATGTCAAACAAAATATTTCTGAATACCTTCGGGTAGTTTGTAATATTACTGGGAGATAATAAAAAAAATGTTCGTTCACGTGTAACATATTCATACTGAGCAGCAGGAACATTAACAAAACGTCTCCCTTGCCGAATATTAAATATATTTAAAATGAAACTGCCTATAATCCATGTTAGCAGTCGTTTTATTAACCTATTTCGGACGTTATGTACCCCGACAAACCCGTATCCAGATACAAAGTAGATCGTCCCCATTTTTATTTCATTTTACATAAACGCACGGACATTATTTTAGCAATAATCTTCGAAATAATAAAAATACTTTCCGTTTGGCGCATAAAAATTATGACATCGCATTGGGGAAATCGAGGGATATAATTTTATGTTTATGGAAAATTTATCCAGAACCTTGGCGTTTTATGGGGACGTTTTAAACTTAAAACGTCCTAAATCTGTACATAAATATCCGAGAGCTTGGTGCCATTACTTACAGAAAGTATTTAAGCTACAAATGCTCTGTTTTTTTGTCGGTTTACTGCTCCTATACGAAAATGCGCAATAAATCTACAAAAAAAATACGTGTGAGATATAGAAGGGAATGCAGACAATGTTATAGGTATATTTCGCTGTAAAATTATATATTTAACTGGGACATAAATTTTAATATCTTTAATATACTAAGAGACAGAATGCATTTGTATAATAGATCAAGGGTTTTTAAGATCCCTTGAAGGTATGCTTTGTATCCAGATGCAAACAATACGGAGGATGTATGTAGTCTGTGCGTTGATTAAACGTATTATATGTTGGTTACTCTCTCGTGAATATATAGTTTGCCTGAACAGTTACGATTTAACTGGAATAACAAATATGTAAATAACGAAGATGTAGAAAGAAAGTAGGACTTTCAAACTGTTTAAGCACTATTCAGAAGATATTTGTAGTTTGGACCATTCTGGAAGAAACACAAGGGTTCAATAATATGTTATTCCTAATTCCTTTTTTCAGCTACAATTAGTTTTAATTAATTTAGTGCTACTACTGAGTGTGGTCACCTTCAGCACTTTTTTGTGAAGCGTTTGGTGATCTTCGTGTTAAATCGGAAGGTAACAACTGTAAAACCATCCAACCGAACTTGACAAGTGCGTTCGAAGAATGGCATTAGCTATCGGTCATTTGATCGTGAACGAAGATTCCCAGCTTCAGGTATAAACCGGTTTTTTAATTACGATGAATCTGCATAATCGCTGGTTCGTCCGTGTTGTTGTTTTGGTTGTGTTTGTGTGCTCGACTTTTGGCAAAGATTTACCAGGTAATTATAATTTGTTTTAATTTCAGCTACGAAGTTGCAAGAAATTTAGTTGATTTATATCTATTTATCAAGTTTATATCACCTGATCTCTGAACGGATAGCTTAATAATTACATATTTACATGTTTTTTACATAGACTAGCCATGTCAGTATGATTATACTTTTAAATTTATGTACATACTTGCAAATTTGACTAAAGAATTAAGCCATGAACTAATGCGAATTTCAAAATGTCCGATGGAAAACATATTTGCCTAATTGTTTTTGATGACATTTATTTACAGGCTTCAACCATGGGTCAAATAAAATAACCGGACAAACTTTGATAATACTAATACGGATACTATTTGTTTTGCACAAAAATTTTATTACATCTTATGAACAAATTGTGACCAAGACATATTTTCAATCATAATTATGGAAACTAGAACCTATTAGTCGAAGCATAAAATTGATGAATATTCCTTTTTATTCTAAGAACGATCTAAATTACTTTTATTAACACTATTTTTTTAATATAATATGAATTGACACTGTTTGAGAATTTTTTGAATTTCAGACCTTTCAGGTACATATTTTTGCTAATATTTACATCTCGAGATGTAAAACATCACAGTCAACTAAAAGACGAATAATTATGCCAGTAGGTTAGGTTTCAAAGTGACTTTCTGAGACATCTAAATAACATTTTCCTTGATAAATAATTTTTTCTTTTAATATGGACACTAATCAATTACTGAATGAAAATACCGGATTCGGTTAATTTAATTTTCACATTGAAAACTAAAGGCTCTGAAGGAAAATCTTGAAGTTAATCCTAGTTTTCTTGGCTACATTGTGGATACATGCTTAGCTCTAGGTCTATTTCATAATGGAAACCGTTTATTCGATAAAGCAATAACTCGAATCAAGTTGCGATTTTTTTGTTTTGGTTAATGCATTATTCATCAAAAAATACGTCAGAAAAACAAAGTGGAAAAAGTATTAATATGCCAAAAGTTTCAAATTTTAAAGGTTGGACATTGGAAATTGAATACACTTCACAGATGGAACTTTTAGCTCAGAAATATAAGTAGGATCGTCATTAGCTTGAAATACTTATGTTATAACTTATTGAAAAGTTTTTTAAGAGTTTAAATTTTTTACATTTGTTTTTACTCTATAATTTCATATAAAAAATTTGTTAATTTACATTAATAGTTTATATCTTTTGATATCAAATGAAAAGTTTTATATACAAAGTACTCATTTTTACTATCGTGAAATTTATCGATTATACTTCGATTAAACTCAAGTTCGTACAGTTGACTTTCAACGATTTACAGTTTTATTGTGCGTTTTATTTTCTTTTATTATTATTAGTATTAATCGAATACCTTCGAAAACTAGCAACGGACAGAACTTTTAAATCAAGGATAAAAATTCGATAACAAATAATGACTCCTCATTACTCTCTATTTATTGATGATCAGTAATAAACTAATCTATTTGAATTTCCACTGCATAACTAACTATACTCGAATATTGAAAACTTGCCCTATTTTTCAAACATGTATAAAATTAAACTTGCTTAGAACAAATTTTACAAAAAATATACACACAGCTATGTATAATTTGTTTTCAATTGGTCACCCAAAATACTTTAGTGTTTTTTGAAGAAAGCAATTCAGAATGCCTTCAGAATTTATATGTAGAATAGCGTTTGGCCCAGAATACAAATATAGCAAACAAGTGGTAGTTTCTCTTTTTCCATATTTTCAATTGCAAAATATTGCAAGGATAGAAGAATAAAAAAACAATTTACGCAACCATTTCATACTTTAATAATTATTCCCAAATTATTGTCTGCGAAGAATAACAATATATATTGAATTGCTGCTTTCAACCTCATGACTACCACTTAGTACCACTAAATGATTATTTATGTGCGGATCTAAATAGTCGACGGTATGAGGGATTGTTTGAAACTACCTTTAGCTGCGTAAGCTTGAATTATAGCTAATAGGTTGAATTATATTTACCTCATATGTTGGTCGTGTCCAACATCATGCAAAAGCTAAAAGGAGGAAATTGCTCAAAGAGATATATTTCTAAGGCGAACAAATAAACGTGAGTAAAACAATCTCGTGTTTTAGGAAAATGCTTCACTCCTGACGGCAAACCAGGAGCCTGCCTGCTCTTGAAACAATGCCCTTCCGTTAATAAGCTGGCCAACGACTATGAAACTCGGATAACCCTCGACACACTCCAATTTCTTATCAATTCCCAGTGCACTATTAGAGGAGGCGTTCTGACGGTGTGCTGCAGCTTCGAAGAACTCGATGCAACTGCTGAAGCAACTGGCAACTCATTATAGAGCTGTACTTTGCCTGCATCCAAAGATGGCTAAATATTAATTATACATCATAGTAAATACAACCGATTACAAATTTTATTGTTATTTTTTGGTGATGTTACCGTAACTTATGCAGACAATTCTTGTTACTATTAAGTAGTAAACACTAGCTACGAAATATACCTACTTGAGTTTCATTGTTGTTATATTTTCAATACCTATTTGAAGGTATTTCAAAACTCATTTTCAATCTGGACAAGAGATACATTCATCTTGAGACCAAAAACTCTGAAAAGTCTGGCTTCAACATTCATCATCACTTACCGATTCCCTTTTTACTCGTGCATTTAATATTGCAAAAGCTCGGGAAAACCGACAGCACTTTGAATAATAGGGAGTTAATCCTAGCCCATCGTCCACAGTATTTTGATTTATAAGCTTTTAAAAATATACAGAAAAGGGTGGGAAATTATAAATAGCGCTTTTGTTTTTCGGCTAATGCTTTTTTGGAATATGCCAGCCAGTGCAGTAGAAGTTTAAGTTATAATCGGTTCAATAGGAAAGTGATTAAATTAAAATAACCAGTACTGAAAAGTTACTTTCAAATACATCCCGTATAAATAGAGCTATTTATAAATTTCGTCTAACTGTATTATTTAGTTTGCGGTTAATTTTGGTAGATGTTATCAAATCTCAATTTTCAAGTTTTTCAATCGAGCAAGGAGCTGCAAAATCAAAAAATAGTTGTTGCCAATAATACATATTTGATGTTATTAGTGCGCGTATATTTCGCAATTCTAATAAATACTGAACCCGTGTACGACGGCTATGTTTTGGGGGAGAGAAACACTTTTTAATAAACATAAAACATGGTCGCTTTTGAAGGATTTACGATTCAGCAAACAAAAATATTTAAAAAGCCCCATTATATCGGTCAATGGGAGACGACGGGTTTAAAGTCCAGCAGCTTTTTTTTGTAAATAATCCGTTCCAACTGTTTTTTATGTAACCGTTTATTACGTTTTAGCCAATTTTATTTTTATTTTTACACTTACCTTATATTAAATCAAATTGTAAACTATTCGAGAACATTATTTAATTTCCATTTATGCAAACTTTTAGCCTCGTCTATATTTTAAAATACTCCTATAAAGACTACTGATTTTAATAGACTTAGTTACTGAATATTTTGTAGGAGGTAGGAGGTATGTGAAACCTTTAATAATTGCTTCAAAACTTGTTCATTATATTGGAGTAATTAACGCTAAGTCCAAACATAAAGAACCCTTATATGTGCTCGACTTCATAACAGGCCGGCATATTCAACTTCAAAGGTTGCTATAGGGCTAATTAGTCAAAATATGTAGGGCCATTTCCTGATGGACAATGACTGGATGAGTGCGATAATCAAATTGGAATTTTAGCTATATATCCGGTACTGATTTTCTGACGATTTTTTATTTTCTTGGCCAGATGTTGTTTGATAATAATTTTGTTGTGGGTCACAAAATTTCTGATACGGAGGTATCAGAAAGCATTTAGACTGATATCTAGAATAGTCCTGCTGGTGCAAAATTTTCGGACTCAGATACTTTAAGCCTATAGAAAGGTTATATTTTAGCATAAAAAATGTATTACTCTTGTTCATTATTTAATAATATTTTGTTGTCTAATTATATTGTGAGTGAGTGCAAAATAATTATGTTAATGTTCATAGGGGACAACTTTATGGTGACTTATACAGGGAACACCCTGTAGAGTTCAAGTCTATGTTCGCAATGACGTTATATGAACCTCAAACTGGCAATTTTGACAACTTAATTAATACATTTGCATATATTGCTAGAAAAGCTCATTTTCTATACTAATTAACTTTGCTTATAGATTTTGCACTGCATTTGGTTAAACACACTTCCCTATGAAATTTGGGAAAACTGCAGCAAATCCGACATTTGTTTTTTTCGCAAATCCTACATTTTTTTGACTCCCTGTGCGTTACCACTTTACTTAAAACCAAAAAACCTAACATGAACTATCTAACTTTCAAATTATTAAAATCTGTTAAGGATGATAAAAGTTAGACTTTCCAAAAAAATCTTGGTTGCCATTTTTTTGAAACAGAAGATCATTATTTAATTTTGAGATATTTCCATTTGTAATATTTAAGTTGTGAAGATTTATTTTCGATATCGATTTGCCAGAAATGTTATTTAGAAGGCAAATGTATTAAACCACAATAACTTGATCTTGCAAACGTAGCTTTGAAACCGTAAATGATTTACATCGCAATTCGAAATTTCCAATAACACTTCGCTTTTTGGCTAATAGTTGAGGAAATTCCTAGAGAAGTATCAAGAGTTGTATTTTGAACTACAAACATTGAAGGTTTCTATTTTTCCTACTGTTAGGCTCTTATTCCGTAAAGCATAGTAAATTTGACGATTTTTACGCACTATTCCACTAGAGTGTGACATTTTCTGGGTTGGTTACGGCACATCAAAGTTTTACTTCATAACAAGCAGCGATTTGCGAAATCAGTCAAATACTTTGTAAAATACCCCCAGATCGCTAGATCCGAAAGGGGCACAAAGTGGAGAACTTTTCGTTATCCCACATCTTGGCTGCTCTAAAAGATCTGTTTATCACGCAATATATCTTTTCGGTTTCCCTTCATTTCAAGCGACGGTTTCCTTTGAAGTCGACCTCATTTTGATGCCCTTCGAGCTTGTAGTTTTGAGGGTTTTTTAAAGATATCCACTTATAATGCGTAATGTGTTAAGTTTTAAGCCGGCAAATTCATAAGGAGTTATACCTAATTTTTTAAATCCTTTTTCAGTTTAGAGAAATGTTTAGTTTCTGTGTTATTTGCTAGCTATAAATTATTTCCAATTTCAAATAGCTCATAATTATATGCAGACAGCAAAGCAGGTTTACTATTGAATTTGAGGAAAACTAAAATAAATATTGAAATAAATTATATGAAATTGTATAAACTGTGCGGCTGCATTATTTAATATGTCGGTTCGAGTGTTTCAGGTTATTTTATGAACGGTAATAATTCTGAATCATTTTTAAGTTGGCTGCATTTTGAACAAGCGAAGTAAAATTATTAATAAGTAAAACCTACGGGTATATCGCTTGACATAAATGCCTAAGAGGCCAAAGCAGTTTCTCTTGCTAATTGTGCAAAACCAAGTTTGGATATACCGGGTGTAACATTTACAGAATATTGGCAAATTTTTACTCTTGAATTTCAATCTCTTATTTTCAGCCTTCGCCAGTTGCTCCACATAGTCAAAAACATTAACAAATCAACAGTAGCTTTTTGATCTATGAAACAAAATAATATAGATGATCGAAATGCCAACATCATAAACAGATGATCTGAATTGACTTAAAACTTCTATTTAAAATACAGGTGAACTAAGTAAATTTACTAATGAATCACCCAGTTATATTATGAACATTTGAGGCAAAGAGCGACTTTAATCACGGCTCTCAAAAGTGATCCCAATATGGAATGTTTAATAAATTGTAAAGAGCCCTTGAAAAAGGGTGCCCCTGATTGAAACTGGACCCGACCGCGGTGCTTTTCGCCATAGAAACCATCTCAGTATCTTGATGCCCTTTTGCCTAATGCTTTATATTCGAATTTCATGATAGGTCGTTTGATAATAAGAGTTTCAACTTCAAACGTGTACAAAGTATAGTGTGGTAAAGTGATTCAGTCCGTGCAAATCACAAGTTTTGCAAAAACATTACCTGACCATGGAATTAATCCCGTGTCAAGGAAATGTCTTCATGTTTTCTTCAATTCCCGATAGTTGCAGAATTCGGTGTAAAAATGATGTTCGGAGAGCAAAATCGTATTAGAAAAACGTTAAATGGAATTGGAAAATCTCAAAAAACAAATTGAACAGTGATCAAATTTCAAATTGGGAAAAGTAGTTGAAAGTAGAAAACCTATTGGTGGTTTGGAATGTTATCTAAAAATAATTAATTAGTGTCTTGTTTTTAAGTTTTTGAAACACATTATAAATCTTCTTTATGCCTAATAAATATAATGAAAGGCGTAATATTTAGTGCCTCCGTTCTTACTGTCCCAAAGAGTTCCTGTCCTCCAGATATCCGTCTATTCGTGTATTGTACAAACTCATAGAAATATTATCATTAGCATAGAAAAATTAGTACAAAAATAATGCTCATTAAAAAAATAAGATCAAACAGAGATCTGGATAAATGTAAAATATAAATATAGGATCCAATTTACAAAAAACGTTTTTTGATATAATATTACAAAAATTGTGCTACTGCTTTATGTGTATATCAACAAAAGCAACATCTGAAATTCAAATTCCATCAGCATACAAGATCTTGTGCACTTGTGCATATGGAACTGCAAATAAATTTAAAAAATTGTAAATTTTTATAAATAAAAATAAATATAAACAAAATACCTAAACATTTATAGTGAGGAAAATTTAAAGAACTTTACAAAAATGTACAAATTTTTTATAGTAGTACGTAAGTAAAAGATGTGGATTTCGTTTTTATTGTTTGGTGTTAGTGCTTGTTAGCGGCAAATTCAAAACCAACAACACACCGTTTTGATATGTTGATCAATAAATATTTGCTATTACATACAGTTGCTTTTGTAGATTTTTTATTTCAAAAAATGATAAAATCATAATTTTTTGTAATAGAAATTTGTAAAATTCAAGCAAGTTTTGCAACTTCCGATAGCTTTTCTTTCGGTATTCCGCCTCAAAATATTTGTCCTAAAAATACAGTTTGATAAAAAGTGCTCTTATTTCCAAATAAAAAACGAACTATTCATCAAATTGAAATAGCTTTAGCTAAACAAATATAAATGTGTCATAAATCACTCTGTGTTTTAGTTTTTTACAAGTAGTAGTTTTGCCTCTGAATTAAGTCTCATTGTTTGAAAAAAACTAAATAAAATTAATTTTAAATGTTGGTAACATTTTATTTAGGTGTATGTATTTTTGTTCTACTTCAGATTTTAGCACAGCTTTAATTAAAGGAATATGAAGCAACACAATTATCTTCATTTAATAGATGTTAAACGAAAGCACTCTCTTAAAGTTCACATTTTTTTGTTGCTGGTTTCTTTGTTAACATTATTGAACCATCTCATTGAAATTGGTGGCAATTATCAAATGCATGTTGGATTGGACATGGAAATATGTAATCTGTAAAATTATTTTTCATGCATGGTGCGTGTTTTTTAATTCTTTCTCTTGTATAAAATTTATCACATTGGCAAAAAATTGCCTAAATTATGTTTTCTGTTCTTTCAATTTTATCTTTAACTTAAGGTTTTGTATAAGACATTTCGCTTCAAATTGTGTTTGCGGTTTTCAAGAACTCTTTCTCTGTTTAGCGATATTGATAGTGTGCTAATTGACCATTGAACCACTTTAAAATATTATTTAGTTGCAAATTTCAAAGTGCATCTTCAAAAGCAAACATCTTCGAAGAATAAATTGGAAATTAAAAGGCATGACGTCCATTTTGAATCGCCCTAGAGTATATAATTTACTCAAGTTTGATGGAATTTCTATTAACTTGTTGTAGGAGAGCATTTTTGCCATCAATTCAAAATTGCGCATTAATTTGCGTTCGCTTGCAGGGCCGTTGATGAAACTATATGTTCATATCATCATGTCCCATTTGCTCATTAAAACACATCTGTTGCACATTTCCAAAACAAATTAAATTTATCCGTTTAATTAAAATGTCACTAAAATAATAATAATATAAAGACATATTCCTTAATGTAATTTCACTGATGATGAATATTTGGAATACTTGACATTGAGCTTTCCCGATCTGTCCACTTCCGTGTAGATGGCGTCCATTGGGGTTGGTTTAGTTAAAGTAGACCACTCTTTGATCAGATCTTTCTTAATTCCAATCGATTCGCCCGCTCCATTGCTGGATAAATCCTGAATCCCATCCAGCATATCAGAAATCACTGGACCAGGCGACGAGGTGCTGTTTATTACCTGAGCTGCGCTGCGCATTTTTTCAAATAATGCGTACTTTCTGTCGTCCTGTGGTCGCAGAACTTCGTTCTTCTTGAGAGAGAAATAGACATGTTCTAACATGCCGTGGCTCCTTAGGAGGTAATCTCGTTGGGCTAGTCTTTTCAACCTGTCCTTTTCTTCAGCTTCTATTATCTGCTGTGGTAAGAAGGAATTTTTAGTGTTTGTGACACTGATGTGGAATGTTGGCGTTGAAAGCTTTCGAGGTTTGGGAATCGATTTAGTTGTCGAAGAACTTTGAGGAGTTGGTTCGTTCTTCACCACTGGTGAGACTCTTTTTGAAGCTTCGAGCTTCTGGCGTAGAACCATCTCACCTCGAAGTGCGTTTTGAGCTGCCTCTCGGGCTCTGCTGGACACTGTGTCACTGTACAAAGTAGTTTGGCCCTGGTCGAAGAATTTTCCATAAATATGGTCAGAATTTGAAGCAGGATATACCAGCCGAAACCCCCCTTTATTAGCAACTTCATTTTTGAAGTAATCTGCAAACGATCGTATATCGATACCTTGATATTCCTTATCTTTGCTCCCATGAAGTAGGCGTTCTCTGATCCGCTTTCGGTCTTCTCGCATAACTCTTTTCTTGTCACATTTATCTAAATTCATCATTGCAAACATATCGTACAGAAGACCTTCTTTAACTTCCGAGTCTAGGGGAGTATCCGTGTGAAAACTTGGGGAGTGATTTACTTCAAGTATCAAAGGGTTCATTTTTTTATCCAGCATTATATCGATCCCAAGTAACTCACAGCAAGCTGGAATAACATCATGATTGGGAAAGCAAGCAGCATAGCTGTGCTTCAAAACAGGATAGGCGCTAATAACTGTTTTAATTATAACATCGTCAATTTTATACCAAATTGCATTGGCATCGTACTTCAGCGATTTCAGATAGTTATGAAACCAGCTAAGTTTCCTTTTGCTTCCAGTCCCGTCAATATCCTGATTATATGTTCTGCTATGCTTATTTACGGCATAGTTAGTTAAGTGCATGAACACGTTGGTAATGTTGACTCCGTTAGGCTCTTTATATTGACTAGTCGCAAATCTGACAAGGCCTTCGTTATATATGTAAATCCTTAAAGGTTCACAGCTTGTTATGAGCGTATAAACTCGCAAGTCAAATTTATAGCCGTCGATAAGAAATGGTCTGGAAATATACACTTGACAAATTCCTCTGTCACACGGTCTAATGTCTTTAAGGGATTTGGTAATTATTATTCCTCTACCTTGGCTGCCAGCGTCGGGTTTAAGAATGAACGTTTTATTTCTCCGAATCTTCGAGTAAGTGATTGCATCTCCCAAGTCGGCAGGAAAGCACCAGGTCTTCGGAAAAAAGTTATAATCTCTCGGAAACATTCGCTGCATGCGGGTCAGATTTCTGGCCAGCAAATCTTTCCTACATATTTCCAGCATTCCTGGAAAATGGTTAATTTTCTGGAACCGTTTCATTTCCTTGCACCTTTCCACAGTTATTGACAAATCTGTCCAATAGAGATTCCAGTTCTCCCCATCGCAAACTTCTTTATAAGAGAATTTTTGTGCAGTTTTCCTAATTACCTCATATCGGCAATGTGTCAGACACACGGTTATTAATTTTTTCCTTTTTTTGGGGCTTTTATTGTCAACTCGTTTCTCGCCAGAAGGTGGTAGCTTGCTGATCACTGTTTGTGGTTTGACGGTCTTGATGTTTTCCACGTCCGAGGTCCAAGTCGAGCTGTCGCTTTGTTCGTGTATCGGTATACTGGTGTTTGAATCGCAAGCCATAAGGTTGATTGTATTGCTTAGTGGGTTTGGTACATTTTATAATTTCCCTTTTTGACAGTGCCAGGTCATGACAAGAATAAATTGAGGTAAGGCAAGAACGCATGGTGGAAGAACTTTCAGACTGTAAATCGTTCAGAAATAAAGCTATAAAATTGGATGGACATGAACAGGATATGAAACTGCAGCTTTTCTTTGAACGAGAGTATTAACTAAATCAAAAGAAATATTCAATTGATTAAAATTCTTATCCGAGAACTTTAAATCGACCATTTTCAATTGTTTTCTTCTGAACTGCGAATCTCAGAAATTGGACGAAAAAAGGCCAGCTTTTGAACCGAGTTTGGTAGCTTCCATAAAATATGCGCATGACTTAAGAGAAAATCCGGAACAAGATTTATTAATATCCGATATTTCCCGATATTACAAAAAAATGTATTTGTTTTGTTTATGTAGAAAGTTAAGGGCTGTCTAAAATTGTCAGACAAGAGAACAGAAATAATTTTTTGCGCAAAAACTGTGAATGCTACAAAGCTTTAGAAAGAGTGCAAAAATGTCAAAAATGGATCGTGCATATAGTAGCAACAAATAATTAGTTCTGGTAGTTTTTGACCAAAGATATTAAAAAATTCACCACCAACTACCCCAAAAGCGGATGGACTCGGTTAGTTCATACAAATATGAATGTTATATAAGAATAAATTTACATCGAATTTCATTAGATGCTCTCGTCATTCTCCCGATACTTCTTTCTCATTCTCCCGATAATTTTTTTGAAGAACTTTGACTATCAATAGCAGGGGTTTTTGTTTGAGCGAAATAATATCGCCGTACTTACTCTTTTGATCATCTGCTTTCTGTATTCTTTGTATATTGGGAAAGTGGTGAGAAGATACTTTGACTATCAGAAAAGTAATGAAAAGAAGAAAACGGTGCAATATGTTGTGAAGCATTGATGGGAAATCAGATGACCGATTGTTACCGGCTATCGATAGTTCCATTATTACTTCTTTTTGTTAATTGTTGGAAGTATTAATTCGAGCTCGGATTGTTTTGAGAGAATATGTATAAAAGCTTAATTCAATTTATTACTCCAGCATTAAAGATTTTTGAATTACTAGAGTTGCATCACTGATTCTTAGTGTGTTTAAATGACATTGCATACATTGCAGAACTTTCAAGATTTACAGACAGTCTCAAATAAAAAATGTACATTTCTTTTAAAGTTCTTTGATGTATTATTCGAACTTTACGCTGGTATTCAATGTGTATTGTACACACCTTGTATATGCTGGAGTATTGCAAAATGCAACAGATCAATCTGGAACAAATACTTTCATCTGTTATTAATATACGGGTTTCCATAAAAGATTTACATTTTTTGCTCTGTATTACGTCTTAAATAATAGAAGAACGCTTTGTTTCTGGAAACTCGACCAATTCGACAGGAATAAATTGAGAGTTAATTGCTTCATCAATGTTATTATTTATAATTAATTCAATTAAATATCCTATAATTATTTAAGCTTTTATAATTTGGGTAAAATTTGAACAAAATGTTTGTAAAAGGTTCCTTCGAGCCGGATTTGAACCAGCGACCTATGGATTTCAACTTCCTAAACAAACTACAGTCCACCGCTCTACCAACTGAGCTATCGAAGGTTGAAATACGCTATTTCCTTGGCCGTAGGTATGAATTCTGAAGAGTCCTAGAGACTTTTGGAAGAAATATTCTTTTATGAATGAAAACTAATAATAATTTGCAGTCTACTATTGTATAACAAGAAGAACATTTTTATTACTGTTCAGTAAAGCAGACACATTTGAAAAAAAGTACACTACTAGGTATTAACTATCTTAAATAAATAAAAAAGAAGTAGGTATTCACAAAAGTTTTACAACTCGCCACAACAAATTGAAGTTGTTCAAAATTACAAATAACCACAATTAAACGAATTATGCTGCAAGGATACAAAAAGGAAATATGAATCAAAAGTTAAAATAATACGAAGATAAACAGGACATCAAACACCAAGATGAACAAAACATGAACGAAAACAAAAACGCTCGTCTAGAAAATATCTGATGCTGATGCAAATCTGGGTTCTGGTCATTAAATATGATTGAAATTTGAATATGCAAATCAAATTTCTCGGCCATTGCAAAAAATCGATTTGGTACCTACAGACGGTTTACGATGGATGATTTGTAATAACCTATCTTAACCATTACATAGCATTTTCTTTTTTGTCAGTTTTTTCTCAAACACTCACAAACGTTTCAAAAAGCTTAAGCTAAATACTAATCTTACGAAGATCCAAAGCCAAATAGTCATGGATGATAAGCTGAAGTAATTTTGAAAATCATCTCAAATTGAGTTATCATTAATGTTTGTCGTCTAATCAAATACTATCTACAATATTGCACAGTGTATTGAATCTACTATCATTTGAATTTATTTATAATTACATTCTTAACATATGCGAAGAAGCAGCATCTTATCAATTACGTCCTAATTACATTGAAACTAAATTCTTTTCTGACCAGCAAAATGCACTAACATAGATACAACAACTGCAAACAAAAAGGTACAAACATTTTACTATTTGATTTAAATGTTGCAATATTACATGCAAATAATAAGAATTAGTTGCGAAAAATATACACATCAGATTTCTTTTAGAAAAGTGTTTATTTGTCATGCGAATTTTGGCTTCAAATAGTATTTAAAGGTTACTTTTTTATACTTGGTTAGTTGACTGAATATTTATCATTGTTCTGGATCGATATTGATTGTGAACAATTGTTTTTATTTCCTTGTATTTATGACACTTTTAATACTATGTATTTGCATCCAGTGTGCAACAGTTACTTAAGTATTACGATTATCTAGTGAGAAAATAGTTGTAAAACAATGCGAATATCTCTAAAACTCAGTTGCAGATGATTTGATTGTTAAAATCAGAAACGTTAAAAATCGACCAACTGTGAACCAACTACATATTAATAATGAAAATAACGGTTATGTGAACTGGTGACCGTTATTATTATTATTATGATTATTATGAAATTATGATTTTCTCGGTTACTTTTTCATACTGACACCGATGGTTTGACATTGAAACACCCTGTATGATCCCCGCCCTTGTGCAAATTCAACCCTCGCAACTGATCAATAAACCGACTGACCTTGAACTTGAAGCTGTGAATGCAGTGGGGTGCAGAGGGGGCGCAACCAGGGGCTACGGGATTTCGCCTGCAAGTTGCATTCGAATATCGCCCTAAATAACAATACGATGGGGCTGCGTGTGCATTGAGCGAAATCCCGAAATTATTCTACAAAGGGCTTTTAATCGGATATATCAAATCAAACGAAACGCATCAAAAACTTCCTAGTAGGGAACATTTATGGAGAAGTAGATGGGGTGATAGAAAACTAAAAAAATGTATGGTAAATGTAAAAGCAAGCAACTGAGATCACATGGAATTGAATTATCACTTATTATGAGCAGTAWYAYKWGCACTTATTGGAAAAGTAGAATAACTCGTAGTCTTACTTGTTATACTAGTAGTACACTCATCTACAGGAGGATTCAAAATTGGCGTAATTCCTTTTAGAGGGAGTGATAGAGGCTCCCTTGGGGAGTACGAGAAAAATATTGAAATTTTTTTTTTCGAAAATTTCCAGAAAATATTAACTTGGATCGAATTCCAACTTTGTTAATAAGCATTATTTTGAAATTGTTCCATGTTTAATTGGTAGCATATTGGAATACTTGAGCATTCAAAAAGAAAAATTACCATGTTTGCTTCAAATTAGGAAAATTTTTGATATCAAAAAAGTTCTCTTCTACAATTTTTTGACGAAAAGGCACAACGGCAATGATGGTTTTTGTCATTAACAGATAGTTACAGGTGGATAGCCCTTGTCAATAAGAACAATAATTTATCAAACTGCGACTTACTTTGAATTTCCTTTCACGAAATTGCGGATATGCGATTAGTTCAGGGGAAATGCTACATTAACATGGCAGAAGCTGAAAGAACTCACGCCAACAAAGGGCGAGGAGAGTGGTTCCAGGAAGATAGTGGACGGCAATAGATGTTCGGGTTCCAGGCACAGAAGAACAAGTATTGGACATAATCAAATCAGGGCCTTCCAGAGGCACCCAGAGCACAATAACTGACACTTTCCCAAGCACTAAATAAATACCGAGGAAGGGCTACGTTCCTACCACGTTTGCACGATACACACAGCACAAGGAGATACAAATGAAGCAGGTGTTAATTAACTGAATACGAGAAGCTGCTTGATAAGAGTAGATAATAAGGAGATTACACAGGCACTAGCTTGTTTGGAGTTAACCATTCAAATGTTTGGTGTTGTACGGTTTATTTTTAAACACCAATATTCGAGGTTATGAGAACAGGTTGACATTTCGTCAACAAATCTGGTTGACTTTACCGTTTATCCTTGTCTATCTTATTGTCAGTCTGTATAATTCCATGGTTACCGGAGTTTTAAATAATTACGAAGCAACAGGTATTTGCGCAATCTTAATTAGGCAGATTACCTCGAAAAACCTTGCTGCCGTATTTCTGATATAATTTTTTGCAAATTTTTCCGTTTTTAATAACAATTAAATTATTTTACTAATTTGTCTGTACTCTCTGTACTTCATTATTGAGGTGAACAAAAACAGTTTTCTTTGAATGGGGTACTTAGAGAACAACTTGAAAATTTACAAGGCAATCATGCAACATAAAAAGTTTTCCAGATCCACCCAGAAAAAAGTTTTTTATCGTATCATGGTTGAACCCAAAACCAAAATACTTATAGTTTGTACTCAATATGGTTTTCCATATTATCATACTTTCTCAGCTATGCAATTATTAACGTTTGAACGCACTCTATCTACATATTTTGTGTCCTCTTTATGTAAAAAGAAAATTTTGCTCTATGCTTCTAAGATAATAACATGAATTATTTAATGCAAAAAATTATGATCAATGTTATAGAAACAATGGTCTTATGATGACACATTATTACTTAATTGATATGATTGTTGAGAGTGTTCGAGAACTGGTTATGCTGGTAACTATGCAAAAGGTCATGTTTTAATTAGGAGATAATTTATTGATTCCGATACAAGAGCAATTGAACAAGTTGGCTTAAGGCTTGAGTATTCGGTCTGGGCTGTGATGAGAAAACGTAACGTTTTTTAGCTACCAAGCTTTTGGCAATTCATTTTTTTGTCTTTATCAGCGCTAGGAAAATTGCAATAGAGTTGGCAAGCTATGGAGTAATTGGAACGTATGAAACAGACAGATAAAAAGGTGCATGCATACTGGATACTTATTGTTCAATTTCGAAAGTCTAAAAACCATCTAAAATGTTTAATTGACATAAAACTGGCTCTATATTCTATGATTAAAATTAACAATTATTCAATATATTAAATTTACTATCATAAAACGGGCTAATGCGTGGTTTCTTTTGAATATTTCCCACGTTATTTGCAATGAGATCAGTCTGGAACTACACCAATTTGAATGTTCGTAAATTTTTCTCTGCTAGTTTTTAAGTTGGTTTAAATTATTATTTTTTTAGTATGGTGGCTCTGAAAAGTTTGAAATCTTGGTAGGTAGGTAAGTAATGGAAAGCTTTGTTCTGTTAAGGCCTGTATGATAAAGAAATATTAATAGTTCAAATGATAATTTGAAAATATAGTTTCTTCATTGGAAAAATGGAAAATATTATATTTATTTGAGCTTTCTTTATTCCAGGAATGAGGCTGTTCTTTATTTCTTCACGGGTAACTTTTTGCTGGACATATTCTACGGTTGTAGTTCTGAAGTTTTGATAAAGTGACCTTCAATATTTCAATTGTGCGTGGTACAAAGCTGATTTGCGTTGAAAATTAAAATACCCGAATATTGAATTAATAAATGAAGCAATAATGCTAAGTTGGAATTATAATAGTTTGCAGTTTTAAATAAGACAATTTACGGTATAATAGTGTGATATATTCAACGTATAAAAAGTCTAGAGTTACGGCACAATTGTTCTATGAATCCAGCCTAAATAATTCGATACTTTTGTATAAACGCCGTAATAATCTCTTTGGCCGCAACCTAAACCGAAGGAGACAATTCCTTCCACTCGCCACCTTGGCCTAGAACCAGGCGATGTGGCGTCAAAACGTTTCATTAGAGGAATTCCACTGTCACCTAAAATAAAAATATGCATAAATTCTTTATGCACATGAATCGCATCATGGAGATCGGGCAAATGTTCATCGCCAAAAGTAATTTTATTCCAACAAGGTTTCAACCACATTTAGGTAAAAAGGATGACTTATCGGTCGCCTTAATCATAAAGGTTCGGTTTAAAATACTTTGGCGTAACGACTCTGGTGTGAAATAAAAATTAGGCGAGACTTTGACTTTCACTTCAAACAATTTTTCTTTTTTATATATTTTTTAAAAACATGACAATTTTTCTTTTGTAAATTTCAACAAAGCTGATATTCACCAAAATGAACGTTTCACAGCCAAATTTTCCCTAACCTTGGAAGTTGATAAATTCTGATTGCATCACGAGATTTTGTTTCGGTTTGTAGTCTTATCTAGTAGTCTTATCTCCAGTTGTTTTTGGTTCGTTAATCTTTTGGTAAAAATTAAGTACCTCAGATGCATTTTCTACAGGGCGGCAAATAAAAAAATGCAAATTTTCGCATCAAAATCAAAAGTTCAAAGATATACTAACAGCTGGAAACAGTTTGAGAATTTGTCAGCGTGATCTCAGAAAATCAACTTATTAGTCTTGTAGCGCTAACTTTTCTGCTCTTCGTACGATTTTACAATTTTAAGCCCATGTTGAAGCTAAAACTTCATAGACGTTAAGATGGAAATTCGATATACATGGTTGAATTAAAAAATACCCAAATCAGAATTACCCCGAAATCTCTGATTCTTTAAATGAAGTAAACTTTCAAATATTTCGTTTAATCATGCCTGCCGGTATATTGATTTTTTCTTAAGTCGACTGCGAAGTTTTGGTGTCAACATGAGCTTTAGATTTTGCCAATCGGTTCAAAAGAAAAATATCTTAATGTGTATATATTGTGTTGAAACAAAAAAAAACGTTGTTTTTTTTTCAACAACAAAATTTGCATTTATTTATTTGCCACGCTGTAGAAAATTTAGTCGCAACACCATTTTTTTGCGAAAACGCGTACTAACCGAAAAAGAATTATATTAAATCACGCGTCCAGCATAAACAGAATCCGTCCCAGCCATTAAAATGTATCCCGTTCCAGATTTGGTCCAAATTTGTCAGTGTAACGTTTCCAAAAGGACTCTGATATAATTTTTGCCTCGGTTTAAAGTGCATTTACCAAAAATTTATATTTTAGTCTTGGTCAGTTTTAGCTTTAAGCCCACGATAAAAATAGACTATTTCAACTTCTGCTAAAGGAAGCTAAATTTTAATGTGCAATTTTCAGAATGGTTTTGTTTTATAAGGTTCATTTTAAAGACAGTTTCTCTCAAAATAGATAAATACTGTTAATAATGTATTATAAATTCTCACTGATAAATAATTAAATATTATAATAATTTACTTGGATAAATTTGTTGGCAAGCCATTATTTTGATATAAAGTTTCTTAAATACGACGCCCGTCGCGAAGGCAACTGTTCGTCCTGTAATCATAAGCAAATTTATGATTTCGACGCCACTGCAAGCAAGCCTGCCCGTGCGGTATCATCACATTTTATTTTTTCTATTAAACATACTAACTATTAACTTTTATAAACTTGAGGCGATCTTTAGCTTTTGCTGTTAATTAATTTGATGGATGCTTTGCACATCTAGGAACACTTGAGATTAAAACAACAACTTTGCATATAAAATAAAATCCAAATCAAAAAAGTGCTAGAGCAAATCGACATTTTTTGGCTTAGTTTTGTGTGGGCATTATTAAGAAAGTGCTAATTAATTTTTTTTTAAATCTTACCAGTGCATGAATCTTTTCCTCGTTCGCCACCAGCGCAAAATTGCCCTCTGCCTAATTGATAAGTTCGGGAAACGTCTCTGAATTTGTCGAACATGACTGAGCATTTAGACAATCCAACAATGGGAATATTCAATTTTTGCTTGATAGAGCTCCTCTTGTCGAAGTGTTGTAAACCCCATCCAGAAATCGTTAATCGCTCCCCAGAAATCAAATAATCGTCCGTGTTAGGCAAACAGATCGGTTTTATATGATCTAAAAGAATATTTGGAACTGCTAGAAATGTCCGGTAGTAGGACGATCGAATGACCTACTCGTAATCTTAACATCCTCATTTAAGCGTATCAGTGCGATGTCATGATATTTCTGATCCCTTGTATGACCTGGATGTGGATGAATTGATTCTATACCAACATTGATTGCGCGGTCAAAGCAGCGCATGCCTTTACTTGTAGGGCCACAGTTCTCCTCCTGATTGGCGTAATTCCACTCACCAAGTCGAACTCCAACACTACAAAGTTTTATTTTGTCATTAAATAAGAAAAATGGTTTGCTAATTTAATGCTTAATTTTATTTTTGTTTACCTTATAATTAGCTCTATTTTTCTTGCTCTTTAGTGTATGTATTTCTTCCATCTTCTATTCACCCCTATTTACATTATATTAAGTACCCAAGGAAAAACCAATATGAATCAATATGTGTTCGTTTTTTCTGTATGATCAAGAGAAAGTCAAGAGCTCGTTTATCAAATGTCAGAAGTAATTGATTATTATTTGTTTATAAAGCTGTATATATAAAACTTCGGTTTCCGCCTCCTGACAGACATTTGTTTGTTAAGTTCAGAATTGAGGGGCACTTTAGCTTTCACTTTTGCTGATGTACTCCTTAATTCCTCTAGTCTGCTAAGTTAAAAGATGGTCATGAGCCGAATGAGAAATTAATAAATTTTTCTTTTTTATCGTTTTTACAAAAGATCTAAACGTTTCTATTTTAACTAAATGATCAACGAAGATCATTACTTACAGTTCAGTTCTTCCTGATGGAATGCAGTGAGCAGCGGTTAAAACATATCGGGAGGAAATTAAAGATCCTCCACATAAGAAAAGCTTCTCTTCGTTATTTTCAGAGTGATATTCGAGCAAGGCTAACCAAGGAAAGTCGATAATTTCGGTGTCATCTCCTCCAAAAATTCGGTTTTTCAATGTGATGTTCTAAAAAGTTTAACTTATCTAACAGATTTATTGTACTAACTTCAACTTCATCAGCAGTAATATAGGTAGGTACTTACCAAGTTTGATGATCCTATTCCGGTTTCCTGATACTCGCTCTCATTGCCAATCTGACCGAATTTACCCGACGTGTCCACTATTTCTGTCTAAAATACATGGATCGTGAGTAAATCTTATTTTTTCATTATTTTAGCCTACCTCTATTCCACATTCCCTGCTGAGGTCATCGAAATTACGGCCAAGATTTTCGGAATCTTCAGTATCACTTCGAAAATTGTCATCAGATCCGCAGCACACGAAAACGGTTGTATTCTGGTTGCCGCATATCGACTCTCTTAAGAACTTTATCTTTCTCGCGTCTTTATTACGTTGAGGAATGGACAACAATCTCGAACAGTTGAAAATGGAGACGCATAGTCCACTTCCCCCATTTGGGGTCTGGCAGTTATTTGGTTGAGGCAATTTAATAGAATCTGTTGGCAAAAGAAATTGTTTAACTCTCTTAAATATTCCAGTTTTATATCCGACGCTAGTAAAACCATTCAGGCGTAGAGTTTTTACTCTTTTCAAAAAGGTGTGTAACAAATTTCAACAATATTCGTTTTGAAAAAGTCATAACATGAGTTCGCACATTTTGTGGACGGTTAAAAATGGGTGTGGGCATGCTTTTAAAGAGCACTTCAAGAAAACATCGAGCTAGAAAGGATCTAATGGAAAAATGAAAATGAGCCTAAAAATAAAAGATGGATTTGAAAAACTGTGGCGAGCGCTTGAGGTTTGAATTTCTCCAACTGAATATTTTTCTCGTAATTACAATAAATGCTACCTAGCACAATAATAGAGATGAAACCAATCAAATTAGCATTGTTAGCATTCTAGAATGACATTGGAAAGTAAAAAAGTAAATGTTGCTTTGAATACTTAACGCCCTGACCTATAAACCATGAACTTTGTTGTGATGAACTTTGTGTGACCTAACAGAATTACATGGATTTTTATATGTATGTTTAAAGAAACGTTTTATACGCAGTAATTAGAAAATACATTTTTATCCTGCATGAATGAAACATTAATAATTATTGATGGGAACATCTATACAAAGACATGCATATGTACAGGGTGTCTTGGCTCATTATCAAAAGAGCACTGAAATATTCTTTGGCTCAATTGAAGATTATGTGCCCTAGCTTTTATTAAAGAAAAATGGCCATCTCCTATGCTGTTGATGGTCAAAGATCCTCCAAAAAAATAACTTTTTACAAATATCGGGAGAATGAAAATCAATGATTCATTAAAATCCGAATCTCACTGTGAATTGATTGCTATGTAAAACTCATGTTTTGATAGAACAACCGAGCTCATCCGCTTTGGGCAAGTGAGGAATTCTTTGTCAGAAACTATGAGCGCTACAAGATTTCATAAAGAAAACCAAAATGTCAAATGAGAATTAGTGCATAAACTCAAAAAAAAAATTGATTCCAGCAACCAAATACAAAGTTCTGATAGTTTTTGTACCAAGACACTAAAGCTTTCTCACTTGCCTAAAGCGGATGAACTCGGTTGCTTTTTTTTCGAAGAACTTTAATCTTCCATAGCAGGGGAGCCAGCAATTTTTTCTTAGTAAAACTTATTTCAGATCGTCTTCTTTTGATCCAAAGAATATAGCAATACCGTTTTGATCTTTCTTCGCCTTTATTGAAATTCAAATCAGGAGGCTCTAGGTCCTAAATATATTTAACTTTCACATATAAGCCTTCGAAAATTGTTGTGTTGCCTTTTTGATTTAATACTTGTAAACTTGAGATAGGCGCAGAATGGAGCCATGAATGTGTAAAACATCAAAAGTTTTCCAGGAATAAAATCATTATAAACTTCTTTTAACTTTTTGACTGCCAGCTAGCTTTTAAATGAAACTCACCGGCTACACTGGCACTTTCATCTCTTTGCACAAGATTTTCAGTACGAACCAGGGTCTTTTTCTGAGCCACACTCGCTGCAGACAAGAAACGGCTCGGACTTGGAGTTAACTTGGCAGCTGATAACTGTACATGAAAATCATTCTGATCACAGCAAAACAGTCTGGAATTATCCAGGTCTATACCACATATCGATTTTGTAATGAATTCGGAAGGGGTACTTTCAATCAAATTGTGAATTTTTGGACAGTTTTTTGATTGGGTACAGAAGCCTTTGGTTCCATTGGGTGTTGTACAATGCAATTGATGTGCTAAAAGAGGTAAATATTTAAACAGTTGGAAAATCAAACAGTGAACAGCTTTGCGACAGTGTCTGCAAAATTAGCTAAATAAATTGTTAAAACTAGTCAGAATTTAGTATCTACTTAACTACTACAATAAAACATACATTTTCATTAGTACCATAGATGAAGACAAGTAGTATTTTGAATAGCACTTTGGTTAAAGTCGTTATCGTGTTTTTTAAATATAGGTACTTACGTGGGCAAGCATTTATATGGTTATAAATAAACAAGCTAGCCACTAAACTCACTATAAGCCACATTACAATTTGTGTTATTTACATTTTATGTACAATGTCGCAGTACACAGGAGTATAGTAAAATTGCTTCTAGAGTGTGAATGCATGAACAGTGTCTGGACAGGCGGGATTTGAAGATAATGCCAATGTTTAATTCGAAATGTTAATGGCTACTTCAGATTATTGAGTTCAAAGAAGTAGAAGCTTTGTCACCTTGCAAGTAAATAAAACTATATTAAATTTGAACACCCCACTTCCTTTATTTTAAGTCATAACTGACCAGAAAGTTTGTAAATGTCATTAAATTTACATTTGCGCTTGTCGGCACTGTAAAATTTTGCTATTTTTAGATTTCAAAAGTTGTTTAAAAACTTTATTAAAAAAATTACGTACTTTGAAAACGTTAAAACCGTTTTCCCCTAATGTTTCTAGTTGTTAAACATTTAACTATACAGTAGTGTTCTTGACACGATTGAAAAAATTGAAGATGTTCAATATTGGTTTGTAATTCGTTTAGGCCGCAGTACGTGTCTTAATCATGTGTAATTCCAAATGAAAAACGAATGCTAGATATAGATGAAATATGGTTCAACAATGTAGCTTTTCTTATCGTTGATATTTTGAGTCAAATGCAGATGTGGGAAAATGCGCACTTTTCTAAACAAGGGCACCATCACGCCATGCATACGACAWATAACTACCATTATTTGCGGTGCCACTGTTGGAAGAAGAATTAAATTAGCTTCTTTCCTAAAATTAAAAATTCGAAACTAATTTGATACTTTTACTTGATTTAATAACGTTCAACATTTTTCCTCTCTTTAAGTCATCCAGGGTGTGTTGATGGGTTTGTTGCTTATGTATAATATAGTTAGTTATATTTGTGCAAAATGGTATATTTTGTAATCCATGAAGAATTTACCRTTCAAGAGATTGCTGAGCACACAATATTTCCGTGGAATATTAAGTGATTGTTCATAATTGTTCAAATTGTCATTTTAACCATTAGTCTGGGTATCATCAAGAAATCTTATTTTTTAATATGGCATAATGGCACTTTAATGTTAAACTAATGTGGTAAATGATAAAACCTGAAAGGATTTATTCTTAAATGAACATTGTATTCCAGCAATGCGAAATCGTTTGCTAGCTTGAAATATTCTGGTCTTTCCAAGGTTTTTATTGATAAATAACAACGCGATTTTGCTGAATTGGTTCTTAAGATGTAAATCCTTAGAGTGTTGTCAATTCAACAAAAGTATTTCACCACATTAGTTGGCCAATCAGACTGACTTCGATCTCAAAAGGGCGTACTTTTTATCAAATTTTATTTGATTGAATTTCAATTGTTAGGGCTCGAAGAGGTTTGAAATAGCAGGTCAAAGATGAGTTCACTTACCTTGATGCATACTGATTAGCAAAAATAAACATGTTTAAGCATAAAGCCTCATTTTGCCATCCCATACGAATTTCTATTTTAAACTATTCGGAAAAGTTTATAACTCGAAGATTTTCCGCGAAGAAAAGGTGGTTTTTTCAGGAGGTTTTAAAATCGATTGAAACACTATTACATTCAAAAAGGTTTTTCCATCTTTACATTTTTTTCCTTGAATATGTGTTTTCCATACACTTTTTTATGACAGTACTTATGACTAAATAGTTCCGTTAAATATGAAATACTTGTTTTATAGCCAAAATTAATTGATTGCTCATCTGTAGAATAAAAACGCTGGAGGGTACTCGAAGCATTCAACGATGCTAACTAAACTCTTGCTCGATGAAAATCAAAGTTGTTATCAGAGTATCTGATAAATTACAGATGTTAATATTTTTTTGCAATTGAAAGACATTCTTTTTAATAGCTACGGTGATCGAAGTTCCATAGAAAGATCTGTCTTGAATTCACACGCCAATAAAACCATCATAATCAAATTGCATTTGAAACCCTGCACGAAAAAGTTGATGGTAAATTTTTCAAAGTATATCAAGCAAATTTGAATGAAACATTAAAGTCCATAACTATTAATGTGGCATTTACAAATTTCATGTTTTTTTTTAATAAACACAAAATTATGTTTTAATTGTGAGACTTGGTGCTGTTTTTCACATTTAGTCACTTTTTTCACATTCAACTGGGATTTGGCATATGTTTATGTTTCCAACCTTTGAACGAAAACATACAATTGGGATTTACCAAATTACTTTATTAGTCTAAATTGTTAAAATTAACATTCAGTTCATTCCTTAAAATTGGTGGCTGTTCCGCAACAAATCATCGGAAATTCTCCATCTTTCCTCTGCTTGCATTCCGACGCTCGGAGGAACTGTTTCTGCTTATCCGACAATTTGTTGGCCCCATTTTCTAGTAACTTCTTAAATAATTCGCACTCCAAAAATGGAACGCAAGTGCCCTTTTCTCCATTTGGCGACTTACATATCGCAGGCCGGCGTTCTGAATCAATTGAAGAAATAAGTGAAAAAAATATTTTAAGTCAAAAACCGAGACAAATGTTGCAATTTTCTTCTGTGCGATCAACCAGTTCTTGTTTGGTGCACTTTTCTATTAAAATTAGTATATCAATCCACAAATCAAGTCAAAATGGATCTTTATTCACGGATGATAAATCTAATCCAGAATCCTGCATGCTTAAGAGAATTTTTCCATGTTGTTATTGTTTACATTAATAATCAATATTCATTAGACAAGCAACTTATGCATTAGCACTGATTTGCTAAAAGACGTTTAGTTTCGCTTACCATTTTCTTCGATTTGACCTAAAGTTGACGCTAAAAGGAGAATTATTCCGAAAGCAACAGAGGGAATCATCGCTTTGAATTCGCACAGCGTACTAAATCTCTTCAACTTTAAAGAAGAAACCAGAAAAGCTAGTTTACAGATTGTATTTACTGGTTGGATGTTTTCTTTGGGTATACAATTGAACGCTAACTGCTGCGAGTGGGATTTTCCCTCAATTAAATTGAAAAATCACTAGGGTTCGTTCATTCGCTAACTACGTTCGGAAATGCTTTATTATTAATAGTCACCGATTATTCAGCAATTACAACCTTTGTTCCGTGATTCCTGGAAGCGAACAGTCTTTGCTTATAAAGCAATTTAGAGCTTTACGTATTGGCGTAATTGGCATTTGAAAATGTAAAGTGCAAATCTATGCAATTAGTAATTTCAGAAGCTAGTAATTATTGGGTTCGGTCATACACATAACTCAGATTTTACTTCAATGTATTTACTAGTATTCACTCGTATTTATTTTTGCTATTGAAACTAAATTATATTATTTTTTCACATTTTAACAAATGCTCTTTCCAATATTTTTTCCTATTTGATGTAGTTTAGTTCATCACTATCGTAAGGATAAATAGTGTCGACCACATCAACTAGTCGAAAAGGTGCGTCCACAATAAAAATTACTGTTTTTCATATAAACATATTTATACATCATTGGGAATTACAGTTATCTGTATGGGGAAACTTAATCGCTGCGGTCAGGCTTTGCTGAGAATACTCATCTACTCAATTAGATGCAGTTAATTTATTTGAAAATCATTCATACATATTAATATACTTTAAAGTGACTTGCTATTTGACTAGGAAGTTGCGTAAAAAAATTCTGAATTAACGAAATATATTTTCATTCAGAAAATTTGAATAAATAAATAAATAAATTGCATGTTGGCCAGTATTGAAGACCAGTACTTTTTACAAATTTGTGTTTGCGTACTGCTTTAAGGTACGCAACTGTACAGTATGCTTGATTGACATTTACTGATTCCATCAAATTATAGTATCTATAAATAATTCCATCAAATTACGTTGCTCGCAATGGTGATATTCAAATATCTACAGTTGCTGCGCGAAGGTTGAAATCAACTGGACGAAAACTTTCGCGTTAAAACATTAGCCACTTTTAATAATTAATAGGGCAAGAAAACAGTAATTTTCCAAAACCCGGCAAATATCGCAAATTACGTGTTATATGTTTTTCTTAAGGTTGCGCTTTACAACAGATTTTTGATGGAAGATACTTGAAACGTTTGCTCTTAGAGTGAGTGGTAAATATCTAATATTTCATTCATATTATATACGCAATATTTTCTAACTAATGTATAAAACTAACTATGGCTCTAGAGACATGACGAAAAAGGCGCCTTCATGTATGAGCCGATTATCCAAGTTTGCAAAACCAGATAAAACTGAAAATCACGTTAAAATTTTATCTTTTTTGTGGAACCTGCTTATATTTCCCAACTAACATTTTCTATGTAAATGTGTAATCCTCTATCCAGTGGTATGAACATTAGCGCATAGAAGGTTGGGTCATAGTAAAAATTATGGTTGAAGCTTGGTGTGATTTCAAACTTCTCTTCTTGTATTGTTTTAAAACTGTCTCTGTTTTCTTAGTTCTTTCACTTCTTCAGCCACTGATCACAAAACGAGGTAGCTCTAATAGCTCTAATAGTTCCCCAGATGCAATGATTCAAAGTAACCCAATTTTTGAACCATTTGCCCAAGTTTTCCAAAACTGTGTGAAACTAAAACTTACGTCGACATTTCATATTTACGTAAAAATTTACCATTTTTGTTACCGAGATTTTACTCGATAAAGGTGTTCTCAATTCTCTATTCAGTGATAAGAAACGGGTGCTTTGGATCAACTTGTTCCTGAGATGTGAGGAAAAAGGTGGAGTTTTGGTTCAAACAAAATTTTCTTCTGAAAACTGACACTTTTTTTAACTACTGATTGGGCCTTTTAATTTCCTTTTTAGCTATAGAAAAAATAGTATTCTGGCTCGAGTGTTTCTTGAGTTACGACAGAAAAATTGGTACCATGCTTGATCCAATTGCCCAAATTTGACAAAACAATTTATCACTTAGTACCGAGTCTTTTAATTTGGTGTTCAGTAATAAGGAAACCAGTGCTGTAGTTCAAAACGTTCTTACCAAAAAGTCAGCGCCATGTTTGAGCTGATGACGAAAACTACGTAAAAATAAAAATAATGTTCAAAGTTAGTTTTTTTGTGAAAACTGCTCATGTTTCACACGATTTTTGACTTCGTTTCTATTCAATGGTTTACAAATGTGTTAGACTATGCGCAACTTATTTACTACATTCACTGTCCTAGTTTTTGTTTGTAGTTATTTTATGCGAGCTTTGAAAAATCGAGACTCTGATTGCGACTTAAGTCAAAATAAGTTTATTACACACCATTGCAATATCATCGGCATGGTTTTTTTAAAACTCCATCATGTAGACAAATAACTTAATGACAGAAATGTTTACTATACAATAAATATTAGTTACATAAAACATTAAAGATAATTGTGGAATCGTAATCAACAAAACTATTTCAGCTTATCAGTTTAACGAATGTACTCCTTTGTCCGAATTCCGGTTATTCTTAATCATTTCCATTCTATGTCCGTAGAATTATCCTGATGTTATACGTATACTAATAATTCATGTGAATTGTTTGCTTCGATTTCCTATTTGCTATTCACAGCAATCTTATGCGCGAACAGTTTTATGAATCCAAGCCACATAAGGAGCAACTCTTGTATATATTCCGGGTAATCCTTTAGTTCCACACTGGATGGCTCCAAACGATACAATGCCTTCAATCATCCACCTTGAATCGCCAGTTAATAATGTTCTCATCAAAGGACCTCCACTGTCACCTAAAAATCAGACGTTTTACCAGTTCTTCAGCAGTGGGGTCTGAAAAAAATTACCCGTGCAGGAATCTTTGCCCTCTTCACCTCCAGCACATATCTGGTGAATCTCGATCAGGTTGATACCTTCTTTGGAGAAAATTTGCGAGCAATTGGAAAAATCGCTTACAGGAACGGCTAGTTTCAGTTTCAAGTTGCTGTTTCTTCCGTGTTCCGTGCGGCCCCATCCGGCAACTGTTAATCGTTCACCATTTCTTGATTTTTCGTTTGGTTCAGGTAGGCAAATAGGTTGGATAAAATCTAAAAGAAAATAATTTCAAAATGAATTACATGTAAGCACAAATCAAAGTCAATTTCTTTGGCTACGCTAACTTGAAATGCAAATTAATTTATTTTAATTGCTTGTAGGTACCTGAATAAGAAATATCTTTATCCAGTCTGATCAAAGCAATGTCGTTTTCTCGGTTAGGTTTGCCTGCATAAGCCGGATGCGGAATGATTTCGTCAATTCCTACATTGACTTCTGGTTCGTTACAAATGCGAAAACCTGCATCGACAAAACAGTCCTGACCCGGACTGCTTAAGTCATATTCCCCCAGACGAATGTTAATTCTGAAAATAGCAAAAGTTAGACTCGGCGTAATAATTGTCTCACAATCTAATATACCGACTTTTTTAGTTCAGAGTATTCATATTTTTCTGTTTGTATCAGTTCTTTAGCATGAAGGACTTACGGCTGACCACCTTTCCTGGGGTTATCTTTAACTACGCAATGAGCCGCAGTTAGAATGTATCTCGAACTTATCAATGACCCCGCACAAGCAACCTTTTTATGGCCATTTGGATACAGATATTCGATCAGAGCCATCCAAGGAAATTCATCCAAGTTGGTTTTTTCTCCATTAAAAATCCTATTTTGCGACTAAAAAGAAACAGCGTCATTGTTTAAAGCCAACTTTTTGGTCACTGATATAAATTATAATGGTTAAGCTGACTGAAAACGTCTTCAAGTTGAAACTTTGCACATTTTCCATGTATGGTATCGGATTATCATTAGTGTGACCTTTTAAACATTTACAATAATAACTATAAATTAGTATGAAAACAATACATTTATATCTGTTAGTCATTAACTGTTTAATATTTGCATATAATGTTCCCTACATGAATTAATTACCTGCCATCCACATTCATTTCGACTTGGAATAGAGCGATGGGGTATGAAAGTGTTATCTTGGTGGCTTGATTGTTCAGATTTTGATCCACAGCAAACATACGGAAATCCGTCTGAACTAAAACCGCATCTGAAACATGAAGGTTTTTTCGTGGAAAGATTTTGATAAAATAATAAAACTAGAGATTTTTTTCACCAACATTTTAATGGTTTTCTATGCTCGTCAATGGCACAATGTTTCAATTAGCCTCTTGATCTTGTTGTAATTATTATCAGCTTCTGTCGTACCAAAACTCATGATCTGACGAAATTTTTACTAAATTTTATAGTTTGATGTAGGATTTACATATTACCTTGGTTTTTTTTATTAAACACTATTGGCTTGATAACGTAAGTATACCTCGTTCAGGGTGCTCAAATAAAAAAATCGAGCATCAGCAGCAAATGGAAAATGCACATTTTAAAATAATATACAGAGTGTTCCGTAATAGTGTTAAAATATTTTAATAGCGTGTTCTGCGAGTCATTTTAGAAGAGGGTCGTCCTGAGAATTTTTTTGATTTGAGGTTTTGTTGTTGAGATATTTGATTTCCAAAATGGCGGTGAATACTAGTTTTTGCTGTTTTTCTTTAAAACGGTCTAATATGGAAACTTCAATTTTGGTATGCATTATAAGCTAATTTAGTGTCATTTTATGATAGTATTTCGTGGTTCAATTTGCTTTTATACAGGGTAGAAGTGCGGAACCCTTACTT